CCCCAGATGCAGCATGGGAATCCACTCACTGTCCCCCCCCCCAGGCGCTGCAGCATGGGAATCCACTCACTGTCCCCCTCTTTCCCCAGGTGCAGCAGCATGGGAATCCACTCACTGTCCCCCTCCCCCCAGGCACAGCAGCATGGGAATCCACTCACCATCCCCTCATCCACTACCGTTAGCCCTCTAACACTCCATAAACCAGCTCCAAAAAGCCATTCTGGAGTCTCTATGTAATACCTGGGTGCTGACCGCTCCTGCAAGCCACTGCATCCTCTCAGCTCCCCTCCCTCCCTCCCTTCCTCTCCCCCACACTCCCTCCCTCCCTTCCTCACCCTCTCCCTCCCTCACCCCCTTCCTTCTTTATATTTAAAAACTTTTATTTAGGAGACAAGGTCTCCCTGGGTAGCCCTGGCTGGCCTGGAACTCACTACGCAGACTAGGCAGCAAGTGCACGCAGTAAAGGCGTACGGAATTCTGCTGTGCTCTAGCTGCATGGCCGCACATGCCCAGTTCAGGAGCTAGACAAGGCGTCTTGTGTCTTACGTCATCAGTGTGCACTGGTGATTACGTATGCACAGCGTGGAGTAGCTCCATAAGCCCATCTGCACCTTAAAGAGCCGTGACTCGGACCCACCCTCTCTCTCTGTTCTCTCGACCCCCCCCCCATCTTTCTCTCTCTCTGCACGTGCTCCTTCCCAGGCCGGGTTCTCTTGTCCCCCCAACCCCTCTTCCTCTAATAAAGCTCTGATTCTGATACTGGGGTCTGTCGTGGCCGTGACCTTTCCAAACGGTAACCAGCACCAATTATCATTCTTACTATCGGCCGTGTGTGTGTGTGTGTGTGTGTGTGTGTGTGTGTGTGTGTGTGTGTGATCATCTATGGGGGTGTCCACAGTGAGCACTACAGGATAAAGCAGGTGCTGGGAACAGAACTCAGGTTCTGCAGGAGGAACAAGGGTTCTAACCACTGAGCTGCCTTTCCACCGCACCCCCATCCTGGGCTCTTTGCTTCTTCTGAATCTCATTCTCTCATCCTCTGGCCCAGCCGGCCCTGCTGAGCGCTGAGATCACGCGTGCCTGGTCAGCTGACTCACCTGCCGCTCCACGCTAGGCTTCTTGCTGACGGGGCACTTGTCTTAACAAATGTCCCTGCGGCAGTCACTCACCTTTGACCTTTGTACAAATGACCCCAGCCCTTGTTTCCTGTTTCCTCTCAAGGGAAAGTTAAAAACCAGAGCTTTGCTTTCAGTGCTTAGAGACCTAAGCTGCCATCACCTGCCACATTCCTTTCACAGAGGGACGAAAGGGTCACGGAGCAGAACTGGACCTGGCGCATCCCCTCACCCGGGTCCCTTCCCCTCCCTGCAGGGGTCCCTTCCAGACCCCTCAGCCCACCCCTTCCTCCCAGAAGCCTTCACTTTCGCCTCTCCCTGAGAACCCTTTCCTTGTTGGCTGCCACATATTTGCTGCTACTGGTTTTGTTTTGTGTTGTTTTGGTGTGTGTGTGTGTGTGTGTAAATGTTTGTGTGAGAGAGCATGGGTGTGTGAGAGTGTGTGTGTGAAAGTGTGTGTGAGAGGGTGTGTGTGAGTGTGACAATGAGTGTCAGAGTGTGTGCGTGTGTTACTAGGGACTAAACCAGCATTGTCAGATTTTTAAGATGTGAAATTCATTTATTTTCTTCTTTTTTTAAATCCCTGCGTTCCATTAGGAGACCAAGAGTCCCGACTGGCAGACAGTGGTGTATTAACTAAACACATCTGTCCGGGGATCATGCACTATACAGCCAGACAGATTTTGTCTACTTTTTTTTTTTTGAGACAGGGTTTCTCTGTGTAGCCCTTGCCATACTGGAACTCACTCTGTAGCCCAGGCTGACCTCGAACTCACAGAGATCCACCTGCCTCTGCCTCCTGAGTGCATCACCACGGCCCGGCTCCATTTTGCCTATTGATGAAATTGTTCCATTTGTCAAGTTTTACACATCAAAACCCTGTGAATTTGACCAGGTTGTTCACCAATCACCTCTGGACAGTGGTGTCAGTTTTAACTTGTTTTACAACATTACACATTTATTAGGTTGTTTACCAAAATTCTCTTCACAATGTCATTGAACAGAGTTCAAGATCATCAATAACTTGTCAAGTTCCAGGCCTGCCTGAGTTACACAGGATGGTCTCAAAAAACTAAAGGGAGAGAAAAATCTCAACTAGTAATCCAAAAGAATGATGGCTGGGGCCAGGGTGGGGTGGGGGATCACCATTCTGAAAACAAGACTTAACTGATCCAGCAACCATTACTAGTAAGTACTGAAATGAATGGGTTAAGGTATAATAAACTCAGGACGTTTACATAACATTATTAATTGTTCTTAATTACAAAGGGAAAAATAGTGATGTTTCACTGGAGAAGCTGGCAGACTGAATCACCATGGTCAAAGCAGTCGCGTGGCAGAAGACACATCCCCGCTGTGCAGTCCCCTCACGCTTTGGGGACCTCCACTCCAGGTCATTAAATTTGCCCCGAAAAGAATTTTATTATGATCCAGGATGAAGCAGAGCTGGAGTTTATTAAAGAGATCCCTAACAGAGATTTAAACCTGGAAGTTAACCGAGAGGCACATAGGGAAAGAAGAAGTCACACCTGCGTGTGTGGGCGGGGCTCCGAGGAGTCCCACTCACGGAGCTTACAGTAGCCACGCACATCCTCCGTGGGCCCTGGAGTTGCAGCCCGAGTGCTCCCGAGGAACATAGTGAGAGTACAGGATGTTTCTATCGTAAATAAAACTCAGAGTTTTGCTTGCGATTACAGGAAGTCATCTGGTTTACCCCTGGAAAAAGGGCAAGGCCCCGAGCGCGGAGTCTTACACGATCAGTTACACATGCTCCTCGGATGTTTAACATTCTCACTTGGAAATGCCTCTGTGGAGAAGGAATAGTGCCTCTCTGTGGACATCCTCATAGCAAGCTTTGCTAAGTGTTCTGGGCCTCTAGATTCTCAGTTGTCAAGAGACTGTGGCCCCAGGGTGAGGTCCCTTTCTGTTTTCCTGTCTTTCTACCCTGCCTCAAGACCAGCGGAGGAGAAACACTTCTCTACTTCAAGTTACCTGATGACAGACACTAGCTTGAAATTGGCCTATTCTCACCAGAGATTGGCAAAAGTTACAGGTGAGCCCCGGCCGCCATCCCCAAGCCAGGCAGTAAACAGCGAAGAGCACAGCTCAGACTAGAGGGCGATTATTTTCAGGTGGTGTGTCTTGGCATCACATAACAACACAACACCCTACAACACACACAACACAGGCGGTCTGCCTGAAATGCATGGTCTCAGCCTAATGAGGAAACCATGTTCAAATCCTGCCAAATCACCAGCGTGGAGGCTGGGGAGGGTTGGGAAGAGCGGTATTTGCCTTGCATGCCCTCGGCCACGGGTTTGACCCCCAGTGCTGTAAGGGGAAAAGTCAGCAGGGTCATGAAAGTCAGTCCGTTAAGGCCTTCTTCCAGATCAAGAGGGCTGAAACCACAAGACAAGCAATATGGGATCCTGACTGGATCCTAGATCAAACAAACTCCCACACACATTTGAAAAATCATTTTTGGTGGGCTGGCACATTCGGTACAGTGCTTGCTGCCAAGCCTAATGGTCTGAGTTCGAGTCCTGGGATCCACGTGGTGGAAGTGGACCCGATTCCCACAGGTTGTCCTCTGACCTCTGTAGGTGTGTTCCCTGCCTCCTGAAGGGCAAATAAACGCAATAAAAAAAAAAAAAAAAAAAAAAGTAAACTTTTTTGGGTTGTTTTTGCTAGACAGCTGACAAAATGTGAATTTCTTCTATCACATTACGGTTGTGCAAGAGATCGCCCCAAATGCACCCGAAAAGCATGGAGAGGGGAATCACTCTGCAACTTACAGAGGAGAGGAAGAGGAGAGAGCAAGGGACAGACACACGCCAGAGCTCGAGCTAAAACGTGTAAGGAAAAAAATCCCATGAACTCTACCTGGTCGACGGCCTTCACGCTGAGATGGCTGGACCTGGAGCTGGAGGAAGGTGCCGCCGGCAAGATGGGGAGATTTCCGAAGACCCGAGAGTGCCAGGGCACAACGGGAGCCAGCTCACGGTGTGAAGTCGGCTCCCAGCGCCCTCGCCTCTGCTGCCTGCCCCGCCTTTGGATTGGCCGAGGGGCAGTGACGTGCGGTCCTTTTTAAGGATGTTCGTGGACCTGAGCATCTCTGCAGGCTGCAGGTGCGAAGCCTCCTGCAGGTGTGCCTCTGTGCTGAAACGAGGGGGCGTCCAGAACCCTCGAGAAGTCAGGATAATTGGCCTTCGCCCTCATCTGCTGTCTACTGGCTATCGGGAGACATTTGTATGTCATTCACGTTTCTGTTAGGTACTTATTTTACACTTGGCATTTTACCCAGGGCTTCACGTAATCGAGGCAAGCACTCCAGACTTCGCTACAGGCCCCAGCTGTACTGTGTTAAGTGCTCTTTTGTTTTTTTGTTTTTTTGGTTTTTTTTGTTAACTTGTGTCCTTCATGCAGCCCAGTGTCAGAGCTGTGCCGGATTCCTAAACTATGAGTTGGATCTTGGCCTTGGATGGCATTTCCCGAATAGTAACCCTACGCTTTCCTCCCTTCCGTCCTGGGCAGGGATTTCTAAGAGTCACAGAGGCCCCAGGAGCCTCCTCAACAGTTTCTTCTAGATGGGTGTAGTGGCTCACACCTTTAATCCCAGCACTCGGGAACCAGAGGCAGGCAGATTCTGAGTTCGAGGCCAGCCTGGTCTATATTGTGAGTTCCAGGACAGGCAGGGCTGTAGCATGAGACCCTATCACAAAAAAGCAAACTAAACATACAATCTTCTGAAGTCTAGCACTCACGGCAAGGCGCTGCTGTGGTCCTCAGCAGGAGGCTGGGAGACCTCAGCCAGTTCCAGCTGGCCACTCCCTCGGGGCCGTCTCCCAGCTTTCCTGTGATCCTCACGTAGCTGGCCATCACAGAGCTCTGTGACAGCCTTCCTTACCCTGTGCTGCTCCCAGGCCAGCCGGGGACAGTCAGCAAGCGGCAGGACTGTGTTCCAGCACGCACAAGGTATGGTGCCTCTTCCTGGGCTTGGTTTTCTGTTGATGGAGCTGCTGAGTTTGAATACCATGCACTGTGTGCGTTTTCACACATATGGGTGGGCCGCACAGACACCAGACAGGAGCACCCCTCGGTCTGTTGCGAGTTGTCTTTGTGAGTCTTCATTAAAGCCTGGCAGATGAAGACAACCACTTCTCGTGGCCTGGCCTGGTGACAGGGGTGTCCAGTAGCTATCGGAACAGTTGTATGAGGCTCTACACACCCTGCAGAGTGGTAGTGTCCCATCCCTGGACACCAGAAGACTATGTTTGCCCGTGTTGATGCCATCGTTGTGAGAGAAAGCCTGGGGAGAAGTCCTGAGCTCCCAGGTGACTGCAGATGTCATCCTGGGAAAGGGGACGGGATGGGGATCGAGGTGCTGTACTCAAGGACTCTGACTGCCAGTTTCTCTCTCCACATATATTTAATACTCCCCCTGACATTTGGGATTCTGCAGAGAAAAGTGGCCAGCCGCCCATTTCAGTTGCGCAGACAGGCTCCTAGCAGGGTAGCAAGGAGAGAACAGGTTCTTGAAATGATGGCGGCAACCACACAGGTCCCCTGTTGTCCGTAGAGAGAAGCATGCCTTCAGATGAGTGGTCAGCAGCTGAGGATGAAGGCCAGCTGTCCCGTCTCCTCAGGAAATCAAGAGACTCCCCCTTCGTCCCTGTGGGTAAGTCCATGCCTTGATGGTTGCAGGAAAACCGTGATGAAAGAGAACTCAGAATCTCCGAGGGTGGCACTCCCCGTCCGTGCATTCGTTCTCTGGTTCTCTGAAGCCCACCCCTCAGAGCAACACAGGCTGAGCTTGAGGGATTCTTTCTAGTTCAGACCCCAGTGGATTTCAGCTATCCTCCACTCAGTTTTACAGAGTTCGTCAAAGGACTGGCTGATGTTTTCACATGTATTTATTTTGGTGGTGGTGGGTATTACTCGCATGCCACAGCATACATGCGGCGGTCAGAGGACGACTTCTGGGAATCGGTTCTCTTCTTCCACTCTGAGTGTTCCAGGGATCAAACCTAGGTCATCAGCCTTGGCAGCAAGCACCCTTGCCTGCTGGGCCATCTTGCCAGCCCCCAGAGGTCCATCTAAAATTATTAGTTCACACTGACTCAAATAGATTTCACTGAATAGACCCACACGTTTCTCACTGAGGACTGGAGCAGCGGTTTTAGCTTCCTGAGGGGCAGCTGGAACCGTCTGTCTGTCTGTCTGTTCTGGGCATCACTTGTAAGCCTTGGTGTCTGCAGATTTTCCCTTCATTACTGTCAGGTACGATTGGAAACTACTTCTTGGGGGCTGGCAGGTAGCTCAGTTGCTAGAGTTGGCCGAGCTTGTGCACAAGGCTAGGTTCAGGTCTCCTTATGGAAGAGGGCAGGGATGGCAGATCACGTCTGTAATTCCGAACTCAGGAAGATCCGAAGTTCAAGGTCATCATCACTACAGAATAAGCTCAAGGCCAGCGTGAGCCATGTAAGACCCTGCCTCCAAAGAGGAAACAACAGAAGAAAAAACAAGCCTCTCGATGCCATTTGAACAGATCCCAGTAATGAACAGATTACCCAGAGTCTGATGTACATTAAATTAGTGTTCTGGGGAAACAGCGTGACTAATGAGGAAGATGAAAGGGTCCCTAGCTAAACTCAATTACCTGCAGACCAGAGACACTGAGAAACAGCAAAGGTGTGGACTCTCATCTCCCAAAGGAGGACAGACCTGGGCTTGATCCAGGGGAGAGACTCGGGTTTTTGCTAGAAAACAAATAAGTTTGTATGCATGTTGAGGTTTCACTTAGCTTTTGTATTTTAGTAATACTTACGGGATATTTTGCCACAGGATGGACTGTGTCATACAGATAATTTACGAAGTACCTCTATTGATTATCTGAAACCACTTCCATCCTTACAAATATGACTTATTGGGATGGGACCCAGAACTAGGGTGCTTGCCTTGAATACCTAGGTCCTGGGGTTCAATCCAGAGCACCGTGAGATAAGTGAAAATAAATCCATGATTATTCTTGTTTGTTTTTGAGACAGGGTTTCTCTAGGTAGCCTTGACTGACCTGGGACTCCCTATATAGACCAGGCTGGACTAGAACTCACAGAGATCGCTTCTTATAACAGTTTGTAGGTATACAGTTTTTCTTCTGTTCAGGCCATTTAGGGTTTTTAGTATTTCCTCAGACTTGGTACAATCATGAACATTTTTAGTCATATTCTGTACTTTTGCTTATTTTCTTGGAATATATCCCAAAAGTAAAATTTCTAGATTAGAAAGCATGAGCAGTTTAAGATCATTATATATATTTTTTAATTAAAACAATTATATTTATATATTTTAAGTTTAAAAAAATCTTTTTTTTTTTGAGACAAGGTTTCTCTGTGTAGCCCTGGCTGTCCTAGAACTCCCTCTGTAGACCAGGCTGGCCTTAAACTCAGCGATCTGACTGCCTCTGCCTGGAATTAAAGGTGTGTGCCACCCACCAACCCAAGGAGTTAAAAAAAATCTTATTTGTGTGTGTGCCTGTGCATGTGAATATGCGTGTGCCCATGTTTGTGTGTGAGAGAGAGAGTGTGTGTGTGTGTGTGTGTGTGTGTGAGTGTGTGTGTGAGAGAGTGTGTGTGTATGAGAGTGTGTGTGTGTGTGTGTGTGAGTGTGTGTGTGAGAGAGTGTGTGTGTATGAGAGTGTGTGTGTGTGTGTGTGTGT